CCCCAGCCGCGCAATCCAGTCCTCTTGATCCAGCTGCGCAATCCGGTCCTTCTGACCCAGGTGTGCAATCCGGTCCTTCTGACCCTTCTGACCCACCCGTGCAATCCGGTCCTTCTGATCCATCTGACCCAGCTGTGCAATCCGGTCCTTCTGACCCTTCAGACCCAGCCGCGCAATCCGGTCCTTCTGACCCTTCTGACCCAGCCGTGCAATCCGGTCCTTCTGACCCTTCTGACCCAGCCGCGCAATCCAGTAGTCCTTCTGATCCATCTGACCCAGCTGTGCAATCCGGTCCTTCTGACCCTTCAGACCCAGCCGCGCAATCCGGTCCTTCTGACCCTTCTGACCCAGCCGTGCAATCCGGTCCTTCTGACCCAGCCACGCAATCCAGTCCTTCTGACACAGCTGCACAACCCAGTCCTTCTACAGAGCCTTCCAAACAGATTACAACTGGCAAAAAAAACAACATTGGGTCACCAAGTAAGATTTTCTTCACACTGGTACAGTCTTTATGACAAAAAAATTAGATTACAACAAATATAGACAACTGCACAATTTCAACAGCTTAAAAATCTGTAAATGATATTAATGGAAAATTCTGTCATCATTTATTCACCCTCATGTCATTCCAAACCCCTCTGACTTTCTTTTCTCATTGGACCACAAAAAGGAAAACATTTGAAGTACATTTACATTTGATAAATGCAGCAGTAACCAGGAGGCTTTCATGTTCCTAAAAAGATAAGAAAACAAACAGAGGTACCTTAAAGTCTGCATGAAAATTCATCCTAAATGCATGTTATTGATCTTATTGTAAATTATTTAACTGTGCATCTTTCTTTCTTTCTTTTTCTTTGAACCTAGTTTGACTAGGTTGAACCTAGTTTTTTTTGATAATTTAATGACCCTAAAATTGTAATCAAAATGTCATAAAAATCTTACAGTGAAATGACAGATGTCTCTCTGGTGACACATTCCAGACTTCTTTAATCATTAATCAGCTTAAACCCTCCAAAATTTACTGCAATCTTGCATTCAGATCTTGAGTTCAATGCTCATCTCAAATTCCAGTGATTTCAACATATGGATAGAAACAAGTCCCCGCCCACGGATATGTACAGGGCTGTCGCTAGTGGGGAGAAAGGTAGTGACAATTATAGGGGACCACGGATTGGGGGGGGCCTGGCGATTTCAGCCGACTGCCTGAGGCCAGCATAAAAGACGCTCAGGACAGTTGATGGTCCACTGGTGTGCATCTTCATGAAAACTTATCAGTTGCATGTGTTTTTAAGCCTTGCCAATTTAAACATTAAAGAGATTTTAAAGCATTCAAGCACAAGATCGCAAAAAAGTACTCACGGGCTGTGCTCGGTGTGCACACTAGGGAGCCGCGTTTCAGCCACGCAAACACCGAATTGAGTTCTCTTTCGCGTCTCCTTGCACTTGAACGAACAAATACACCTCGCCAATTTAAATATTCAAGC